GAAGAACGGATATAAGTATTTTTACGAAACTATTACGGTAATAGATTTTTTAATTTTTAACTTATTAGGTGAACTCATAAACATTTAACTAACCAAATTTTCAATTTACCTTTCCAAACTAACCTCTATCTTTAGCTATTTCCATAGCATAATGTCTTATGGTGTTTTGCTATTGTAACACGCGACTGCACACTGAAACTATATTTGTTTTAAAAGAAGAGGGCCTTTTAAGCAATCTATGATTTAAAACCTAAAGAGTCGTTCAGACAAAAATTTAAGGAAATTATTATATTAACTTTGGCCTCTCAATACATTTACGAAAATGTAATTTACGTACATAAAAATAAGTGTAGTGCTTACTAAAATTTAAGAAATTAAAATAAGTGATATTTATTTTGTAAATACTATAAACAGACTCAAGCTAAGTTGTTGCAGTTATTCGACTCCAGCGAATCGGTAATTCATTCTTGGTGCGATGTAATTGCTTTTACAACAACATCCCAGAAAATATACAAAATTGGACCTGCTCAAGTTTAAAAACTTTATTAAACTAAGTTCATATAAAAGGGTTATTATAATATTAAGGAATTTATAGAAGATAATAACCGCCGGGAAAGGTGATCGCTACCAAGCTATTGCTAATTTGTTTTGTGTTGTTGATTGTAACATATTGTTGCGCGCCTAAGTTGGCGTCTGGCACTAGCGCCATCTAGTGTCGGGTAATAGAGCGAGGCGAGCTATCCAGAAAATGACATGACTAATCTTTCAACCAACAGCGCCATCTAGTATCGAATTGAAGAACTAAGTTTTCTAGAAGTCCTACACTCGAACTTTCGGCGCCTGGTCGGTTGGCGCGCGTATTTACTTGAATATTCTGGATGTTTCGGTGAAAAAGGTGTATTTAAAGGTTCTGCAATACGCGATCGGGGCAGTATTTAATTTAGCGAGACAAGGGAAGCTTCGGAGCGAAATAAAGTGAATCAGTGTGATTAATTATTAGTGTTTTAAGTTTTAATTGGTGTAAAGAAAATTAAAGTGTAAATTTTGGTAATTCAATCGGCAGTTTTTATTGTCAGAACCTCAAGCTTGTAACAATATGATAGCTGTTTTTTTTAAAGACCCACTGGGTTTCTATCTGATTCTTACCAGGACAGAAGCTTTTTCCAAACCAGTGGTAAATTAAAAAGGGACTATCAATACGTATTATTTACAATCTCGGTCGAAAATTCTCACGCTTATAATTGGTTATATTACAAAAATATATGTTGGTATTATATTTGTCGAATTTCAATCATACCTAGGCTGCACTAAAAGTATCGGGAATGGAATATTTCCACCGTTCCTGTCATATTAAAATCTTTTTAATTGAAAACTCCTTGGTTTTAAAAATCGATTGATTTATTTAAAAAAAGATTCTCAGTCTTTTCACAAGGTTTTGTCAAACTTGTTTAGTCGTTGAGAAAATGGGAATGACTCGAGAAAATTCAAGAGCGATGACTTATTATGACTTTCGAAGTGGATTAACACAAAAACAGTGTGTTGACCGGATGATTTCTGCATTTAGTGATGAAGCCCCATCCAAAACCACAATTTATCGCTGGTTTGCTGAATTTCAACGTGGACGTGTCAAGCTCAATGATGATCCCCGTCAAGGTCGTCCAAAAACTGCAGTCACCCAAGAAAACGTTGATGCTGTGCGTAAGCTGATTGAGGAAGATCGACATGTGACATACCGCGAAATTCACGCTACTTTAGACATTGGCATGAGTCAAATACAAATAATCTTGCATGAACAATTAGGTGTAAAAAAGTTGTTTTTCCGATGGATACCTCATTCGCTCTGTGAAGAGCAAAAAGCGGCTCGCGTTACTTGGTGCGTCAACGTCAACGTCAACGTCAACGTCAACTCTCGAAAGATTCCACGCAGGGTCCTCAAATGCTGTATACAACATCGTATCAGGTGACGAATCCTGGATATACGCGTACGAACCCGAAACAAGAAACCAGTCACGAGTTTGGGTGTTCGAAAATGAGTTAAAACCAACAAAAATTGTTCGTTCACGGAGTGTTGCAAAAAAAATAGTGGCCACGTTTGTCTCCAAAACCGACCATGTTACGACTATTTCTCTTGAGGGACAAAGAACGGTTAATGCAGAATGGTATGCTGGCATTTGTTTGCCACAGGTCGTTTCTGAACTCCGTAAAGAGAACTGCAACCGCCGCATCATCCTCCATCACGACAATGCGAGTTCTCACACCGCACACAGAACAAAAGAGTTTTTAGAGCAAGAAAACATAGAATTATTAGACCATCCGCCGTACAGCCCCGACCTAAGCCCTAATGATTTCTATACTTTCCCTAAAATAAAGAATAAATTGCGTGGACAGAGATTTCCATCGCCTGAAGAAGCTGTGGACGTCTACAAAACGGCCATTTTGGAGACCTCAACTTCCGAATGGAATGGTTGCTTCAATGATTGGTTCCATCGTATGGAAAAATGTGTCAAATTTCGCGGAGAATACTTCGAAAAGCAATAAATACATTTTTAAATAGTAATGTTGTGTCACTTCCTTGATTCCCGAAATTTTCAGTTCCGTATATATATAAAAACAACTACCGCAAGGGCTGTCGATTAAAACCATTTACATTTAGTCACTGATTTCGTTATCGGATAAACATCTATTAATTAACAACTCTACTATGAACATCTAATGGAAGTTAATCTAAAATTCATTTACTTACGTCATTTTGATCACTAATTCAATCTTCCATTTGGTTCGTAATATACTTTTAACTGGATCGTAAAAAATAATTAATATTTTATCTATAAGTAACTGTTTAATTATTTAAAATATATTCAAGGATATTACTATTTTCTTAGTATTAAATCGCCATCTACGTTTGAATTTTAAAATGATGTGATAATACCAGGCGTGTGATATAAAGAATGTGGTTTAGCAGTAAACTTAGATAGGTCGTGATGATACTGATGATTAATACTAACGTTAGAAATAAGTTTTGGAATTTAAAATATTTATTCACACTGTTAACATTATATTATAAGAATTACTGAATTGCATATTAAGTATTCGTAAAATGTTTATTATAAGTTTAAACGACAAAAGTATAATTATGATTGTTTACCGTAAAAAATATTGCCCAAAATATTTAAAAATTTCGTCGTGCACTTGATTACAAAAAAGTAGCTGTGTGCATTTGAAAACCCACCATTATCTACGTTATGCAAGATAAAAAGCGGGTAATGCGTCCATGACACATGCGTGATAATGAGAATTTGGTACCTTTTAAAAGATCGAAACGCGATAGCATGTTCATTTATTGCGTAATTAGCGGACTTATTTATTATTATAATGCAATTGCAAGAAGGAAACTACCGCCTAGTACATATTTAGAAGGAATTTACTGGGACAATTTTAGGCCGAAATTTCAATCGTCAGATAAAAATTAATGCATCGAATAAATTATAACTTGACTGAACGTAAAAATGAAATAGTTGAACGATTTTATTCCCACAACAAAATTTTTCAATTTCTTTGTGTTGTTTTTTTATATTATAGTACGTGAGGGTAATATATTACCCTCACGTACTATAATATAAAAAAACATCCGTTTAATTTGGTCACTTTTTTATAATTCAAAAACTACAGCCCTATTTGCATAGAAGACTATATTATTCGATAACTCTTCATCTGTCAAATAATAAAGGGTCAAAAGGACGATGCTTTATCGAAGCCATTTTAACAGTTGATATTATAGTAAATATTTTAGTCGATTTTAGTATGGCATAACGTAGTTAGTTTTTATTAAGTTGATTTTTCGAACTGTTTCTAATTATTGCCAAAGCTTGTTTGTTATTTTTTTATTGATATATTTGTTATATTATACGTCTTTGTGTTTTTGTATCTATCCTCCTCCTAGTTTTGGTTTTATAGGATCGCAAAACTCAGGTGACCTTATTATTACCCTCATGTCATAAATTTTAACTGATTCCATTCGGATTCAAAAATCGGACCATAAAAACCAAATATTTTAAGACTTTTGCCACAACACCGTAATCCACATTTCATTGCGTATGAATATTTTCATGTTTCTAATTTTGCAATTTTACACACACTCAATATTTCCATATAATATTTAACTCAACATAATTTCAATGTGTTACGGAGCCTTTGAAGTTATTCGTCGATAAATGCGAGAAATTTATAAAATTTATTATTGTATATTTTTATATCTGTTGGATTTTTTTTATTATCATCATTATACACAATTACAAAGCACGTTCGTTCGATTTAAACACATAGAGCATGTATGAAATAAGCTAGGGAGACTAATTAAGAAAATACCTAAATCATGCCTCCGGTAATTTGACAGATCTTTAAAACGCTTATCAGGAAGAATAGAACGCTGAAGATTTTGTTGATAACTATCTAATGCTATACATAGATAAGCTTTTTTATACATTAGGTTATGCATATAGATTGCTACTTAGTCTCAAGCAATACGCATCTATCGATTCGCTGCATGTTACATCAGATCGTCATTCTAACATTGCATTTGTTTATTATGAGGTGTTTTCCATTCTTCCAGCTAAAGTAGCCCATCGATTGCCACTTCTGCCTACTGATCCGTTGGGTTAGAAAATCTGCTTGATAATTACATACTCATACAAGCAAAGGGAAGCGGTTTAAAAGTTGCGATGTCCGATACTGTGATTAGATTACGAATCTAGCAGCCAAGGTGACAAATCCTCCTCCAGATTTTCAGCCATTTGGTTCGATCAAGCTTGTTAAAATAATCTTAAACACGTCTGGAAAATTATTGTTGTGTTTGCATTTGCCGTTACTACAATACAATGAAAATCATTTTGCATTTGTGGTACGTCCATACTCGTATGACTTAGACGCCTCTTAAAGTACTCTGTGATAGTGTTGTTAAAATTATAGTGTTTTAATATATTATCCTTACATTTCTTTTGCAGCCTTTAGAAAGTAAACATACGTGTGTCATCGGAGCCGGCTACTCCGGTCTAGCAGCCGCTAGATATCTTCAAGAATACGGTGTCAACTTTACCGTGTACGAGGCTTCCCGACATGTCGGAGGCACATGGAGGTTTGATCCTCACGTTGGAACTGATGAAGATGGCCTGCCCTTATTTACCAGCATGTATAAGAGATTAAGGTACATATATAATATTATCAAATTTTAATTTGTTGTGATTATGAATATGTATTACAACGCCGTATGCGCAGTTTATAAAACCAACATGATGATTTCTTTGGCCTCTTTAATTTCGTTTGCGTAAACTATATCAACAAGTAAAGTATTTTTTTATCAAAATAAATTTATATGCGATAACATCCGTACCATTAATTTTATTCAGTACCTACGTAGAATTCTTGTGAAAATAACAAATTAAATAATTTATTACCTAATATATACCTATAGTTTAATTGTAATCACTAAGCTTTTTAACAGTTTTAAGGTCAATTAAGGTCACAATCATTAACGATAGGACACAAGCCCAATGGTTAAACAGTAATTTATAAAAAAATTCGACTGCGTAAAAAAGGTTACTGAAAAGAGAAAAAATTTGTACGTTATGTCACTTTCACAAGTAAGATATTTTATGTGTTAAAATCCATGAAGTCGTTTTGGCCACATAGCACACACAGGTACATACAGATATACTTAAATACATAATAATAGATACACTCGACAGACATTTTTCTCTTTTTGGGACGGTCGGTTAAAAACACTGCTTCTTTTTTGTATTAAACATCTTTTAGTCTGGCTTCCTTGACTGGAAAGATTTGACATACGAGTGGACGAACAGCGAGGTCGCCGGCTTAGCTATCGCAAAACTCACATTTACGAATACATTTTGTCATTTATCGGTCTATCAAGCCTTGTTTTTGATTATATGTGGTAACCACGCTGTAGTTTTATTAATGCTGTTGCATGAATGGGTCAATTTGACCCGCAGTAAGGAACTTGCACTCGTAGAATACCAGCGTAAAATTGGAGCATAACACTGCTGTGTTTCAAATAGTGAGTGACAAGAACCCGAGACCCTTTTACCAGCAAAGATGCGTTCCACATTAGACATCAGGGACAGGATAGATGTCGGTGTCTATGGACCACATCTGCTTACTATTAGGTGGACTGTGTGCTCCTTGGAAAATATCAGTTCTAGTAAAAAATACATACATACATAAAATACATAAACACTCACGCCTGTCACCCAGAGGGGTAGGCAGAGACTACGGACTTCCATTTGGCACGATCCTGACATACCTCTTTCGCCTCCTTTACATCCATATATCTACGCATACATGCTCGTCGGTTAAGGGTACTTCTAACGTGGCCCATTTTCAAAATATCGCCAATTTGGTCGATAAACTTTTTCCTAGGGCGTCCCTTCCCGACTCGGCCATTCACATCTGCCATATAAATTTGCTTAGTCACTCTTTCCTCATTCATTCTTTCTACGTGACCAAACCACCGAAGCATTCCTTTCTTAATCCTGGTCACAACATCATCTTGCATACCACATTTATCTCTTATCACGCAATTTCTCACCCTGTCATTCAGATTACACCCTAGCATATTCCTTAAAGACCGAATTTCTACAGCATTTATTCTACTTTCGTTCTTCTTCTGCCACACCCAGCTTTCACTACCATACATTAAAGTAGGGACTAACACAGCATTATGAATTACCATACGTGCCTGTTTTGACAAATTCTGGTTCTTCATAATAGAGTGTAGTGCCCCATTCACTCTATTCCCTGCATTTACTCGTCGTTCTATATCCCTATCATATCTACCATCCCTGCTAAATACACATCCCAAATACACAAACTCATCCACTTGCTCAATCAACTCTCCTTCTATTCTTATTTCACATACCGTTTTGCTTTCTTCTCTTTCAAACACCATCACTTTCGTCTTACTTGCGTTCACTTTCATTCCCCTTTCTTTTAATTCCCAGTTCATTAATGTAACCATCATTTGCAACTCTGCCGCCGATGACGCAAGTATGACTTGATCATCGGCATACAAAAGGCATTTGACGGTTAACTCGCCCATTCTTAACCCACATTCTTCATCTTTCAAAGTTTGCAAACACCGGTCCATAAATAGGTTGAACAGCCAAGGGGAAGCCACACAGCCCTGTCTGACACCTTTTTGGATGCTAAACCAGTCCGAGTAGACCCCATTGATCCTGACACAAGCACTAGAGTCCCTATAAAGAGACCTCAATGCCTGTATCAAACCAGCGCTCAACCCATATGAGTTCAGTGTTTGCCATAACACATTCCTGTCCACTCTGTCATAAGCCTTTTCCAAGTCCATGAACGCACAAAAAACTTTCTGGTTTTTGGCCAAAAACTTCTCCGCAATCATGCGCATGGAAAAGACTTGATCTGTACACCCCATTCCCTTTCTAAAACCCGCTTGCACATCCCAAATTTTTCCATCAGTTTCTTTCATAACTCTTTCAATTAACACCTTAGCATACAGTTTACCCACAATACTAAGCAAGCTGATACCGCGGTAGTTTTTGCAGTCCCGCTGTGACCCTTTTCCTTTATATATTGGTACTATAACTGCTTTACACCAGTCATCCGGTACCCGTTTTAATTCCCAACATAAATTAAACAAGGTATACAGCAGGCCTGCCACCACTCCCTCTCCAGCCCTTAGCATCTCGAGTGATACTCTATCATATCCAGCTGCCTTACCTGCTTTCATGCTTTTCATTGCTTTCATTATTTCATCTACACTTATCTCCATACCCCTTTCCACTTCTTTCGGAATTTCTAGTTCATTTAATTCATACGACTCTTCACTCATAAACACGCTTTCAAAGTATTCCTTCCATCTGTTTAAATTCGAAACTTCATCATTCAGAATACATCCATTCTCGTCTCTTATAGCATTTATTATAGGCTGTTTTGTATTTCCCCTGGCAGTTCTTACGAGTTTCCAGAACATTTTTATGTTAGCCTGGAAATTATCAGATATCCTTCTATCATTCTTATCCGTTCTTTCTTTATTTTTCCTTTCAACAACTTCTTTTACTCTCTTATTTAGACGTCTAAATTCTGCCTTTTTTCTTTCAATCTCATCATTCATACCAGAAGAATTATCAGCTTTGGTTGCTAGTAAATCTAACCATGCTTTCTTCTTTGATTCAACTTCCACCCGTACCTCATCATCCCACCATAACGTATTACTTTTCCTTTCATTTGTTCTCTTACTTACACCGCATAGTTCGGTGGCGGTATCCACCAAACCTTTCTTAATATTATCCCACACAGTATTCAAGTCTAAATCATTCATACAAAACTCATTCAAACATCTAATATTTTCTCTCAGTCTACATTTATACTTCTCTATCACATCTTCATCTTGTAACTTCTCTATTCTTATACGCTGTAACGCAGTGGTAAATACAGATGTCCGATGCCGCCAACGCTTGAAAAGACCATTAATTCGATATAAGACCAAGTAATGATCCGTCCCTACGTTGGACCCCCGGTAAACCCTTGTATCTACGACTGCGCTCCTCATTCTTTCATCCACAATTACGAAATCTATCATGCTTCTATCATCACCTCTTTCCCATGTATACATGTGAATCTTCTTATGACGAAAAAAGGTATTCGTCACAAAAAGATTCTTTTCCACACATAAGATGAGGAGATCTTCACCATTCTCATTTATACTTTCATCACCAAACGTTCCCAATATCCTTTCATAACCAGACCTCTTCACCCCAACCCTTCCATTAAAGTCTCCTAACATAATAATATTTTCATTTTCCTTACATTTTGTCAACACCATCCTTACCATGTCCCAAAACTGCTCTCGTATGTAAGTGGGCTTAGACATGTCTGGGGCGTACACCCCTAGCAGGAACAGCTTCTTTAAGCCCACTTTCATTCGTATCCATAGCAGTCTCGGGCTTACACATTCATACTCTTTCACACATTGACCCATTCTTTCTGAAAGGATGAAACCGACTCCCTGGCATGCCCGTTCGGTCTCGCCTACACCAGACCAATACGCGGTATACGTGCCATGTGCAGTGGCATCCTTTCCCTTTCGTTTCGTCTCATTCACACATAACACATCTATTCCTCTGTCATTCTTCATTTCGCATACTTCATCCATCTTATCATTCATTCCTCCACATACATTCAGCGTAGCCAGACGGGTTTCCGCAATCCACTTTTCGCCCCTCCGGGAGACAGAACGTGACGGGTGGCGAACCTCGTCGCCGGTTTTTCTCCCGGAGATTCTTCGCACCCCTGCCCCATTTAAAGGGCGCCGGGAACTCGGGGCCATTTCTTTTATTTCTTGAGTCATGGTGCGAACAAGGGTTGGTGGTAGATTTTACGCCGCTACCATACGGCGAGGAGCCGAGTCTATTTTATCGGCGTTGTCGCTCGTTTAGCACCACCCGGGGGACACGTGTAGGGTGGGCCTAAGGTTAGGTGGTCGAAGCCTACGGACGCGAGCGACTCATCCCCCAAATAAATAATACATATTGCCCATATATGCCTATATCAAATTAAAACTCACATAAACTTTTGAAGCTTGCTAATCACAATCAAGATAAAAAAACAAGTAATTGAATTTTAATAATATTTTTATTTTATTTTATTCTCTTTTAAAAGCATAATATTTATATTTTATGTCACATGACATTCAAATCCAAACGGCGGGTAAACGACCGTGTGAATTTTAAAAATCATTAATTTATTTTTAAAATCGTTTGTAAAAAGCATAAACCTTTAATAAGTTTTTAAGAACCGTTAAGTTTTATACGAAATATAACTATAACAGTAAGGTACTCAATGTGGACATATAATATAAATTTACATAATATAATAATAAACAATATTTATTATAATAGAAAATTTAAAATTCCACGATTTTATGACCAATAAAATATAAATTAATGTTCTATTTTCTATTTGTGACTAAAGCTAGGTGTGTTTGTGATCTGTTTGCTAAAAGTTTTTTTTTTGTACTGAGATTAACCGTCACATATTATAGTAAAATCGTTTGATTACGTGATTTGAGTACGAAAAACAAGAGACAGAGGCAGATTACAAGGTAAGATAAATAGTTACTGTCACTAATATGACTCGAAAGGTGCTACAGCT